ACAAACATCCATGGCTTAAGTGGGATTCGAACCTACGGTCCCATCGACCAAGCGGCACAAGGCCCATGCCTCGGACCGCGCGGCCACTGCGGACCCCGTGAAAAACTGTCCGAATCCAAAAAAAATGTTTCAAATGAAGGTTACCTGAATGATATCTGTATTTCAGGTCCTGTTCCACTGTTTTATACAATGAGCCACCTTCACCTTGATTTGAAATCAATGAAAAGTCGGTATTATTTAGACCCATCAGAATTAAAATAAAATGCGCCCGACAAATATTGCTGTAGACACCCGAAATGAAATTTATTCAAAATCTGTTCAGTAGTTCTGCTGATAAAGCACATATGCACATGACAAACACACTTTCAGCAAAAAATGTATAATTAATTAATTCTCAACAGTATCAGAAAACGAGTACCAAGTCTTCTACTATCAACTTACCTATGTTTTTCCAAATGGTTGTAAAAATGTTGTAACATGCAAATTGGACCCCAGTATGTGGTGCTATCTGTATTAGGGTAGGACTTAGCCCCTTAAAAAATGCTCTGGGTCCCTCTTTGGTGTAAATCATGGTACAGACTTGGAGAACATTCTTGCACACCTAAAAATTACCATAATAAACAGTAACAGCTAAATAATTATTTCAAAAATACCATCATCCTCTGCTGTACACAGATCACCTACTTTTGGTTCACCTTGTGCTATGAGACGGGTGCGAACAACATCTGATGGGAAAGAGAACACTGTTGCCAAACTGCCTGCTATACCACCACATACAAAGTGGACCACGGGGCGATAAACGTCTTCTCGGAAACGTGGTATCAGATACCATGTCTGCTGCGTCAGGAATTCAAATGACACAAACTGAAATAAAGATGTAAAAATGAAACCTTATTTTGTATTTATAATTTTATATGCAGCCCCAATTTCTACAACAAAACACCCAGCATGACAGACTTTGGTCAAATAAATTATTTAAGTACATATACAAGGTCTGGATATTCTTCAGTGTCCTACTGTAAACAAACAGTCAATAAATCAGAACATCCTTTAAAAAAATGTGTCCAAAGTGCAGATCATTCTGGTTTAACCATTAACATACAGATGGTTACATTTTATCTGCAGATTCAAACTTTTCATGAGGATAAAAAGATACATATCTAACCACAGAGACTTTTAAATAACACACGAGTAGGCAAATTTCAGACTGTGTGAAATTTAATACTATTGGAATAAACTATGACAAGACAGAAGATGCCAAAACACGGACACAGTGATCGAGTTTAGTGTTTCCAACCCTGTGCTGAATCTTTACGTGCACCTCATATCTTCATATAACATAACAGGTTCTTCATTTGACTGATTTTGACTACATTGACAACATAAACAACACCAACACACCTTGTGGTAGAGAGACAGCAGTCCTACTTCATATTTAAAGTCTCAAAATTAACATCCGAGCCAAGAAACTTGCTTTCTTGGTTGCTTCTATTATGTCCCTAAGTCATTGCAGTCAAAAGCTGGGATAGTACCAAAATAAGGCCATGAATATTTCCTTACAATTACATCATTAACATTTCCCTATCCAATATTACACAGAAAACAATTAAAAATTAGGATGACAAGTTGTGGAAGATCAAAAGTTCTTGAATGCCTCAAGAAAATCCAGTCCACATTTTACCGCCCCACACAAAATCTGGCAATGAATGATATACTCGTACTTCAGCAGAGTAATCCTGCCACAAAATAGTCTGTAATAGAACTCTGGAGCTTCACAACAGATGACGTATCACCTACAAAAACCAATGCAGGAACACAGCAAATAGAACAAAGCACCTGCTGACATGAGAAGTGGAGGATATCAGACAGGATTTTCATGGACACAATTATTTCTCATTGATGTAACTGGAAACGAAGACTTTCCATACAATGAATGTACATGACTTACCAAAATGTACTGATGTGTTTGAAAATCAAATCGTGACATGACAGGATATGAAGACAGCTATGGCATATTGGCCTCGCGGTCTGAGGCATCATGCTTCGGACTGGTGATACGGAATGCGCGCTGGTTTGAGTCTCGGGGAAAGAAATTTATTATAAGATTTTCGACTGGTGTATGGGACCGGTGCCAACCCAGCATTGTGAGGAAATTGGGGAGCTACAATGGGTAGCGTAATCCGGTCAGGAAAACTAGCAATGGCTGGGGGTTCGTCGTGCTGATCACACGTCACCCTATATCTGGTTGGATGATCGTTCACCTCTGCTTAGGCATGTGAACGTGAGACCAGCAGCCAGCCAGTCGGCTTTGGCTCTCAGAGGGCTGTTACGCCACGGATTATTTATGGCACATTGGTTCTGAACCTGCCACACAATATCACGGCAGATTCGACAATTGGATACTTAAATATTAATTACAGAAATCTGTTTTACTGACAATGGTGATCAAGTGGTTAGCACTTCTACTCCAAAGTCATGGGATCTCAACCCAGAAGGTGGCTATCCTGATGAATTATTTTTACGGTCTTCATTGGTCATTCCAGGATATGAAGAAAAGACCTGGGAAGTATGAGAATTGGTTCCAGAATATCAGTTTGATTTCATACAAAACTTATTTCCTTTCAGTGATACCACTCTGTAATGGGAAACTCGCCTATGCTGGAGATCTAACTGAAAAAATTACCACAGGTTTGTCACTACAAACATGATACCAAATCACAACATACAAAAAATGTTGTTGCAAGCAATGTGACTAGGAGATAAATGGTATTGTACGAAGTCAAACCAAGTTGCAAGCTTGTACACAAACAATAACTCAAATTCATCTTAATTTTTAAAACAGCAAAATATGCCCAAACATAATGGCTTTACACTAATATATAAAATAAAGCAGACACCCACAAAATACAAAACATTTAATTCCACCCAGGTTAACTCTGTGTGGACAATGCCAAGACAAATACTGCAGTATTTGGCAAATCTTTAAAGGATTAAATATTTTTGTAACCCTTCCCTGACGTTATACACACTTTTCAAAATAAATTACCGTGAATTATTGTTTCTTCTTCTGTAGTTTGTCTCTTAGCTCTAGGTTGTGACAGCATAATTTATGTAAGATTTGAGGTTTTCACAGTGGTGAGTATGAAGATTTCTGTCTTCTGGGTTGTTGCGCTGTGTAGTCTGGTCGATGTTTACCAACGTTTCAGAGGTCATACTGCCTCCGTCATCAGGGCGATGAAGATTTTTGTCTTCTGGGTTGTTGCGCTGTGTAGTCTGGTCGATGTTTACCAACGTTTCAGAGGTCATACTGCCTCCGTCATCAGGGCGGTGAGTATGAAGATTTCTGTCTTCTGGGTTGTTGCGCTGTGTAGTCTGGTCGATGTTTACCAACGTTTCAGAGGTCATACTGCCTCCGTCATCAGGGCG